TAAGAAAAGTGGACAAAAGTAGTTGACAGCTCTTGAAGAAACTGTATGCTGTTACTCCCTGTTCTGACACTTGCTCCATTTGTCTTTCAGATCCTGAAGTACTGACTCCACCAAAATTCAATAAAAATGTGCAGTGGAAGCTGCATCTTCTCCAGTAACCGGAAACCAAGGAATCTCTGTGGACTCTGAACTCTTAACTTTTCAAATAATGTCATTATATCTTTGCAAAAGGCGTTGCTGTTCTGGTATTTCTGATACACTGTTCCTAGGGCTGTGGAAGTGAAGGGTTCCTCCACCTGGTGCAGCTGTGACTGCCACCCATATGGTGTCACACTTGTGGGCACAGCTCTCTATGGTGTCACACTTGTGGGCACAGCTCTCATGTGCACTGCAGAGGTGGCTTGTGAGGCTGGGGAGCAAAAGGATATGCAGCTCTGACAGCTCCTACCACTGTTCCCCCTTCTGGATGAAGCAATCCCACCAGTGTTGAATGAGATGTGCCATGAGATATGTGAAGGGATTAACAGTATCTTCACTGCCATCCCTACCTCCCAGAGTTGATATCTGCTATGATCACAGGCCACATTTTAAGCACTTCAGCCTGCTTTAGAGAACTCACCTGGAAGACTGTACCAATAGCAAATTCCTGCAGTTGCCAAACAAATTTTATGTCTTTTCTGCTGAAGCTGGGTGTTGCTGATACCAGATTTTCATTATTGCTTTGTTATATCAGTGTGAATCCTGCAGTGCCAACAGCCATTGTATTGAAACTGGGCCTGATCACACCAGGGTGGTCTTGGGCAGAGGAAAACATGAATAAAAACAGGACAGTGATGTTGGTGTTTCACTCTGCTGGGTAATACTACCCTAATTATCTGACATCAAAGAAGATAAAGTAAAGGTGCCTTATGGCACTGACAGATCAGCAGCTGTATCCTGGTAACAGTGCAATAGTGCGCAGCATTATTGCAGAACTGTGTCATCTGGAAACTGATCTTGTACTGAGAATTAGGTTTTACCTCAGAATACTGTCATCTGATGCAAGAAGTAGCAGCAGTAGTTCTGGGAGCAGAGGAAGGAGATGAAACTGGAAACCCTCTCAGTGGCGGCATCCCCTTCTTGGTTAATTTTGGCCTGGCATTTGTAGTGTTCAGGCCATTTCCATTGGGTTCTGCAGAAAAACACCTTACAAACAAGGTGCTTACTGTCTGTTGGAGTCGTTTAATGGCACAGCTGTGTTCTGGTTGCACAGTGTGAGCATGTGCAGTGCTGCAGGTAACTTCTCGTGTGGCAAGAACTCCATCAGATTGGAGTGGCCATTTAGTCTTGCACTGTCTGTATTGTGCTGGCTTGGGCCCGCTGGATGGAGGAGAGTGGTAAAAGTCTTTTTTCAGTGTGAAGCATTGGAGCACATCTCCAGTTTTTCTGAGTTGCCTGGCCTGTTCTGGGTTGTGTGGGGGTGACTTAAGCCTGTTGTCGAATACTGTGACTACACTGAAAAGAGATTCTCCAAGAGTAATGCCTTTTGAGATGGCAAAACACATGAAAGTCTTTACAGGGCAAGACTGTTTCACAGGACCTGGTCTTCAAAATGGTAGCAGAGCATAGTCCCTGGTGAATACAGAAGCCATCTACCAGATCTGGAGAGTCTGTGCTTCTCTGCAAAGCACTCTGGCCCCGCAACTGAAATGTGACACTGACACTAGTAATTCCTGACATTCCTGAATCTGATGCCAAGAAATGCTGAGGTCTTGCACAACTGAACCTATTGTTTAGAAAGAGAACACAAGAAAAGATAAAATTGCCCCTGGCTTACTGAGGATTTGTGCTTGTGCCTAAGAATGAGTATGATTTCTTTGGTTTTTTCATCATGGTGATGGTGAAAGCCAAGGACCCTTTTGTGTTAGGCATGCTTTCTTGTTCTCCCACCAAGGCAAAAATCTGCCATCCAAGTGAAGACCAGTCTTATACATCATTCTTCAAATTCTTACTGTCTTCCCCTACACCTTTCCCTCCTGAGTCCTGAGTGAACTTGGAATAAGGAGCAGTAGAGCTGGGAGCAGCACCTGGTGTGGGTGAGCCTCAAGGGGGAATATCCTTCTTACTACTTCTGCAGTTGCTGGACCTTAATATCTTCTCAGCAGCAGCTAGGAGTCAGCTTTCCCTTGATTTCTGCTGCCATGTTCTTTTGCTTTCTTAGTGATGCCTGTAATCTTGAAATATACTCAGTTTTAGTTAGTGTCATTACAGACACATTGAATTTACTCTTAGGAATTCTGTGGGGGCTCCTACAAACACAGTTACCAGGAATTGAAGTAAACCATTAATGCAGAAATACGGAGTTCACTTTAAAAATGTCTCAACCTCTGAGCAAATACGGCTGTATGGAAGCCTGTTTCTCTTGTTAGATATTTTCCACCTGTCTGCTGATTAGTTTCATTAAACACAGAAGGAACATAAATCCATCAAGTTCAGTAGGAAGTTTCATGAACAGATGCACAGTGTGGTTCATTGGAGCAATAGATGATAGTTCTTCCAGTGATAAACACACCTGCTAAATACAAGTGTAGAGTGAATTCAAGTGTTCCCAGGTATACTCTAATGAAGTCAGAATCACAGATCTTTCCAAAGAGGCAACTCTGCTGTGGGGGAGAGATGAGTAAGACCTTTGACTTTTCTTCAAGGTGGTTATGTTCTCATCCTCTGCCTTGGAGGCTTTCAAAGAATAAATTTATTCTTTTTGAGAGAAGCAGAGATGAGACTATAGTCTCATATTCTATCAACTGCAATTGTAAACGAAGAAGAGGGGGAGAGAACTTTCTTTGTAAATGAGTATTAAGAGTTACAAAGAGAGAACAAAGCCAGTGGCATTTTCATAAGGGTGGAATAGAACTCTTGTACCATTCGCTTTTCCAGTGGGATGGCTGCAGGGGTCATCTGCCCCTCCACCTGATAACCCGTCACCCCATCAGCCTACCATCAGCCCATGTTAATCCCTTCACATATCTCATGGCACATCTCATGGAAAGTCCTTTACCACATCTTTCTTGGCTTTAGGCCTCATTCCTGTAACAATATCACAGAAAATAATACAGTTCCATACGAGATCTAATTACAGCCAGGTGTGGATCATCACTGGCTGATGAGTGTTAAGGTTATGCTGCTATTCTGCAGCTCTCTTCCAACAGAGATGTTATCTTGGTTGCTCACAGTCTCCTGTATGGACTTAGCAGCTGTAGAGGAAAGATTGGAGGAAGGCTGTGAGTACCTGCAAAGCCACACACAAAGTCACTTGTGACACTTTGTGGCCTTGAGGCTACCCCTATAGGTGGCTGCCCCTTCTTGGCTTCAGAGAGCTTGTGCCCACTGCTGCCATTCCTGCGGACCTTTTCCATACAGTGGTGACATCACACAGTGCTGGACATGCTGCCATCTCTCACCCTGAGGTCAGCCCAGTGGCAGTGGTTCTCCTGGTGATGCTGCTGATTTACAACATCATAGACAGGCTTGTCCCCCTGAATCGTGCTCCCCATTTGAGTGTGTGGCAACTGTGACTCAGCTGCACGCTGTTCCCAGACAGATGGATTGCAGGGGGTTATGCTTCACTCTGACCTGCTCCGAGAAGTTCTAAAACCATGACTCCCACCCAGATGTGATGGGCCATGGGCCAAAAGCAGCACATTTCACTGTGGAGAAGCATGGCTTCCCTTTCTGGCCTGGGTCTGCTATGAGGAAGACCACAGCTCTCCAGCATTCGCAACTGGCCTTGGTCCAAATTACTTCCCTTTGCAAAGCATTAGCACTTTACCTCTGGAGCAGCTGAAGCCCTAGTTTGTGACAAGAATGGATTCATAGACAGGCTGTGCTTTTGTCCTTGTTCCTTACTGTCTTAAGCTTTATTCTGTAATTTAAGGCATATTATTACTGATGTCAGCAATAGCTGAACTGTGGCTGGTGTTTTAAATTAGGCCATGGCCACCTGTTAAGCTTACTGTACCCCATTCTGGTGAAATATGAATGGTTTAAGAAAAGATTTTGCACAGTGAGTCATAGGAGAACAATAAATACTTTAAAGACCCAGAAAAGTGGGAAATGGCAGGTCTTGCAGAATAGTTTTGAAACAAGAGAACACAAACAGAAATCGTGCATTTTGCAAGGTTCCATGTTCTACTGAAATTAACTAAATCAGCTAAAAAGCATCCTTTAGATTAACTTAGCTCATTATAATGTGAAAGCCATATCTCTAAAGCTTAGACTACCCACCTCCAACTGAAGAATCCTACCTACTGAACATGCATAATAAATTCAAAATGCATTATACCCTTATATTGAAGCAGGCAAAAGATTGTCCAATAGCTATTGAGTTTGCAGGTATTTAGACATCAGGTAAGTGCAGACTTAGATATTTTGAAAATATCTTAGCTACACTGCTTGGCTAGAACTGGGTGTGCTAGCTCTGTGGATTCACCAGCCAGCACCCATCTCTGCACAAGCATGAAATAAATGTGATCCTCTGTGTGGTTTGGCTTCTTACATACCAGGTTGAAAGAGCACATTTTTGGGAATAACTTTATGACGGAAACATCTTTATTATTTTCCAGCAACATGTACTTATTATTTGCTCCATTTGAGTGGGTACAGCAACATGCTGCTGCATGGGGAAATGGAAGAAGAGAGGACACCCTCTCCTTAGAGAATGTGTTACTATTAGGAGCAGCATTTTGCTTGTGTAACAAAAGCTCTGTGCACTCTTTTACTGAAAGCCATTTCACCCAGAGAGCATCTTACTTAACTCAAAGTTGGGCTTAGGATGAAGCTGAACTGTACAAACCAGATCTGGACTCAAGAGATTTTTACTAGTACTGTCCTGCTGCTTCTGGAAGTTCACATCTTGACAACAATTAAATTATTAGAGGCTCACTAAAATCCTGATTGCAGAAACAGTACAGGATTAAACCACAGAATTTCTGTATCAACCTCAATGCATGCAGACAAGCAACTGCAAACCTTGATCGTTTTATTACTCTAGGAAGCAGTAAAGCTGGTCATTGTGTATTACAAATGTATTACATAAAAAATGTTTAAATACATCCTTGTACCCAAATGAGATTTTTGCTCCACTTAGAGCCTGAGCAGTGGCTGTCCCCAAGCTGAGGGGCAGTTCAGCAGCACTGAACAGTCAGGCCTTTCAGCGAAGTGGGGGTAATCAGCTGCTGCTCCTGCCTCTCCACTGACAGTACATTCTGTCAGCCACACCACTGCCTGCAACATTAACACACAGGAGGAACTTCAGTGGTAAGCAGAAAATGTCAAGAGAAAGACCTCTAGATCATTGTTTCTTTCCTTTCTCAGTAGAAACCTAGATCTGGGCTCAGTTCAGCTTCTGAATTAAAATAAATCCTTTCATCCAAACAAAGCACTTCTCCCAGACCTCAGTTCACTTACAGATTAGTGTGACTGTACAACAATAAAGCTGCAACCAAAAAGCTTCCATTTCTGAAGTCACTTGATTTACATTTTCAGTAGGAAGGAAGAAGAGGGCTTGAGGTTTTGTTGAAGCTATTACTAAATTAGTATGCTGCTGTTTCCAGGCCACTTTTCCCCACATTACAACATGTCACTCTAGTTAATAAACATACATTTCCATTAACATTTTGTCGTCTTTGTGTTGGCTTGAAATCTGAAGACAGATTGAAAGATTATTTTTTGCAAAATCATTTTGGCCAGTGTTTCCGAAGATGTTCCTTTAACTGTGGGATTGTGGACAGCTGTTGTTTACAGCGATGGCATCTGAGGGGGAGTTTGAGAAGTTCAGAGGTATGGTCTTTCACCATTACTTTTCCCTTGCTTCTTACCATCTCTATCACATCTGGGGAAAAAAATAAAAAAGACCATAGGTATTGAGACCACATAGCGTCATGAAACACATGACACTGCAAATCTCTGTGCATTGTTTTGCATGCACAATATGTCATTGCTGCATTCCAATTTAAACCAGCCACAAAATTTGTTGAATTTTACTCAGTGCTACTCCCCAATATCTTAAATTAAATAAAATCTTTCACTTACTGCAATAATATGTATGACTTGCACATTTGTTTGGAAGAAAAGCCCAAAGCCAGAATGTGCAAGTATGTTATGAAATACTTTGTCTAATTACCTTGAGAGTTTAAGAAGTAGTCTGTAGTAAAAGAATTCCAGTGCTTTTTGGTTTTCAGGGCTGGAGAATCAAAATCCTGGCTGATTACATGCAAATGTAGCTGACTGAAAAAAAAATATAACGTAGATATGAGAGAAGATGGTTAATGCTCAAAGTTTTGCAGTTGTATCAGTTGCAAACATGATTCAAAAGAGTGCCAGCCTTGTGGGTCAGTCCTGACCCTGTGACAGAAGAAACACAGTCAGTTCTGGAAGCACTGTCTCTTGCCAAGCATGTCACTTATAAAGAGTCAGGGTCACTAGTCTGCATATTCCATTGGTCCTCACTGCAGTCTATATTCCTGCTAGTTTCCAAAAAGGCAGAGACAGTAGTGTTAGCAAACCACAGGTTTATTAAAGATTTAATAATAAACCAAAGTTTTATTATTTGTAGAGTAATTGAATGGGACTTGATCAGTGTTCAAAAGCTTCATTCAAGAACTGGAGAACAACTGACTGCAGTATCAACAGACACCTGGACACTCTAAGGTCGGGACTTACACACAAGACTCAAATCCTTGCTCCCAGCCTTAACAGGTCTAGGAGTCAGTCTCTAATCCCTGCTGGTGCCCTGGGAGCGGGATGCTGTAGCAATGGCAGCAGTGCTTCTGTCACTGGGGCTGGACCACAGGCATCCCACAGCCCCAGGCACCAGCTTCTCCTAGAGAAGCCCAACAGGCATTTCCCCCGTGCCTCAGGATCTACACAGCAGCGTGGGGCAAAGGACTGCACACCAAGCTGTCTCATGTGTGGAGGAGGACTGCCTGTTCTTTAGCAATGCCAAATGTCCTCACGGATTTAGCCCCAGATCTGTGTAACTGGAACAACAGCCACATGACTCCTCTAGGTCTTACCTCATACTGGGGATAGCATGGTAACCCAGTCGGAACTCCAGGCTCTCTCGGGCAGGGCACTGTTCAATCATTTTTTGCCCAACGGAATGCATATGTTCCAGAAGTGCAAGGTGGTCCCTGGTGACTGACTTCAGGCTTGAAATAGGGTCCCATGGTAAGATAAGCCAGTGGTAACGTGCTTTGGGATATTTATCCTTGATGACTACAATCTTTTCATCTTTGTAAACCTTGCAAAAAAATGAAGTAACTAGATTACTTTACAATTGAAAGTTAAACATATTATTACTATAAGCACTATATTTAGTGGAGAGATGCTATCCAGTGAAAACTTTTGCTGGAATTAAGCTGCTCCAGGATAAGTACCCTCTTCCATAACATATACCAGGGCAGCTATGGAGAGATGTTCCAGCATCCTTTTTCATATACTTTATTATAAAAGGGGCAAAAGCTTTCTAATCTTACTTTCCAGTAAGTTAACCATAACTACAGCGGTATATGAACTTTAGAAAATCACCTGGACTGAGATATCAGTGAGGCCTAGGGAACTCTACTTCCATCAGGCTATGCTCAAGCTCTGCAGTCACAAACAAAACCACAGTGCTCAATACTGAATATGTTGGAATGTACTAGGTTGCAAATTTCCAGAGTGAAGCACAAATGTCAGATGTGCTAACAGCAGTGTTCAACAGACCTCCACCAGCATTACGAAGACAAAAATATTCAAGTCTGGGCTATTTCAGTTCATCCTACCCAGTGTGCTGCTTTGTAAGATCACTCACAAGAAGGAGAACAGAATCCTGTCTATTATGTCCTTCTTCCTGTTTTCATTTTGTTTTACGTTCTGCAACAATTCAGTGCAGCTGAGGAAGAGAAATGGTTGGGAAGTTTGTGGACAACAGTGGGGAGAACCCAGCAATAAAAAGCCATCAGGCTGTGACGCAGAAACTGTGTATTGTGTCTCTGGTCTCTTAGCAGGGCACCAGCTGATGAGAGATGGATGATGTCTTTGTCACCTTTGTTAATTAAGTCTTGGATGTTTATATACAGATCAGTCTTACTCTACAGGAAAGAAGATTAGAGTTCTATTGGCACACAAATCATAGGACTGATTCTTTCAGCAGCAAGATATTTTATACACACATACTACTGTCTGCTCCTGCTGCCAACAGGAACAGGATCACATTCAAGTCTTTTCAAGTTCAAGAAAAAAGAAATATGGCCATTTAATATTTGATTAAAAATAAAAGACAGGAGTTCTATTGTTTGTGTATTCAGACTGAAACTACAACTAATAAAGCTAACCTTCACTCATAAACAGGTACTTGTGTCTAACATTAAAAGAACAGTTTTAAAACCTGCTTACATTTTGGGTCAAGAAAGCCTGGTTTTGGTAAGTATACAGAATTCTCCTTCAGGGGTAAAAATAAGGTTTTATGTTTAAAAAGTATGGAAGAAGAATGTACTCTATAGGGGCTTTATCATCCCCTATATATAGAAAGTGTTGGCAACTCTAGGACAATGGGCATCCAGTTCTCCTGTAAATCTATGGAGATCAACACTGCACACTTGTATTAGAAGAAAAATCAACCCAGAAACAGAAGCCTTCTGTTTAGTTATCAGCTAAGCAAGGAACTGGGTCACAGGTCTGGCACAAAAGGTTACAGTGAATGGGTGACATCAGACTGGTGACCTGTCACTGGTGGGGTTCCACAGGCCTCCATCTCAGCCCTGCTCTTCAACAGCTTCACAAATGACCTGGACACAGGACTGGAAAGAACAGAAAGCAAGTTTGCCAACAACACTAAGCTGGGAGGAACTGTCAACTCCCTTGAGGCAGGAAAGCCCTTCAGAGAGACCTGGACAAATTGAGGGCTGGGCAGAAGTTTAACAAGGTAACATGCTGGACTCTGCACCTTGGACAGGGCAACTCTGGACATAGAGAGAGACTGGGGAACAAGAGACTGGAGCGCAGCTCCATGGAATGGCTGCTGGGGGTCCTGGTTCATGTCAAGTTGAACGTGAGTCAGCTGTGCCCTGGCAGGCAGGAGGGCCATCCATGTCCTGGGGTGCATCAGGCACAGCATCACAGCCAGGCAAGGGAGGGATTGTCCTGCTCTGCTCTGCACTGGGACAGCCTCACCTCCAGTGCTGGGGGCAGTTCTGAGTGACACAGTAGAAGACATAAAGCCCTTAGAAAATGTCCAAAGCAGGGCTCAGAAGATGGTGAAGGGCCTTGAAAGGAAGCCATATGAGGAGGGGCTGAGGTCACTTTGTCTGTCCAGCCCGGAGGGAACTGAGGGGAGAACTCATTGCAGTTACAACTTCCTTGTGAGGGGACAAGAAGCAGCAGGCACTGACCTCTTCACTCTCATGAACAGTGACAGGACTTGACGAAATGGCCTGAAGCTGAGTCAGAGGAGGTTTAGGCTGGATATCAGGGAAAGGTTCTTCACCCAGAGGATGGCTGGGCTCTGGAACAGGCTCCCCAGGGAACCTGTCATGACACCAGGTCCATCAGAGCTCAAGAAGAGCTTTCAGGTACATGATGTGATTTCTGGGAATGTCCTGTGAAGGCTAAGAGTTGGATTCAATGATCCTGATGGGTCTCTTCCAACTCAACATACACTATGACTCTAAATTATCCTCAGCCTAACAGTGATCGTCACCTGAAGGGGCCCAGTGAGGCAAGAGGTCAGATCATGTCAGCTGACATAAAGGCGTGAAAGTTAAGAACTTGCTGGAAACAAGGAAACAACACAGCGCTGACTGCTGCAGAATGGGAACCCCTGTGGCTTGCTCAGCTTCAAATGATAACACTTAGTTGGTTTCCCTGAGGAAACAAAGCAACTGCACAGCTCTCTGCTCTCCCATCAATGTTTTTGAAATCTGTTGGCCAAAGCTCTCACAGTGCAGAGAACTCAAAGAAATTAACACAATGAGAATCTGCGAAATCAGTACAGTAGGGACTTCCAAGTTAATGTTACTACAGGGAGAGATGCAAGTACATTTCAGCCCTTATGCAGGACTCCACCGATTAACCAGACTGTTAAAGCAAATTGCAGAAGGAAGAAAGAAAGCTCATTTAGCTTTATGAGACAGGATCTACTGTAAAGTACAAGTATACAACTCTCACCTGCATTTTTGGATCTTGCATGGAGCTCTTTAGACCCTGACTCCAGTGTCCTAAATGTTCCTATAGCACAGAATGGGAAAAATAAATTGTAAGACAATTAAGCGTTCAATTATATACTTCAAAGGGTTTAGTAAAGAATATTCATTTGTACACAGCAGTACAATAACAGCTGAATGAGAGTTAAATTATTTCCCTTCTATGAAATGTGAACATACCTGCTCCAACTGCCCCTAAAAAGCTACTTTTGAAAACTTTTAACAAGATACTGTGAAGGTGGAAAGTTCAATCTTCCAAACATTGGAAATTCAACAGCAGGGAGCTATAAATGTGTTTAAATTGAACAATTTGCCTGCATGTGTCATTGCACAAGGCCCTCTGCTTCAGGGATCACAAGAACCAAAGAAAGAACAAAGATGTCCATTAACTGTCCTATCCCATACTGCTCTGCACAGAAAAAAAGTAGTTGCAGTGTGTGGCCTTATCCTTAGATGTATTGATTTTTTTTATGTTGTTCAGTGGCTTGCAGAGAAAACAATAAAGGCATGGGGAGATCAAGCCTTTGATCAACACAAATTATTTCTTAACTTTGCTACTGAACACCTAATAGAAGGTGTGTCTTGAGTGCACCTTTTTCAAAACAGATGTTTTAACTATTCGGAGCAGTAATGATATTCATCATATTCTTACAAAGAAAGACGTTCAAACATTATTATAGTGCTGGCAGGGCTATAGTGTGAGTTGTCATCTCCCTGCTCATTCTACCACAAATCTGGCCCTAACATAACCAGCCCAAGTCCACAAATTAAATAAGTGGTTAACTCACAGCAACCTGAGAATAAAATTTTGTCTTAAGGGGTTTTATTTTTGTGCCTTCTCCTTCAGCACTGCACTAGTTCCAAATGCATTAAGGTCTTTTATTTTGTCCATGTCACAGGGCTAAAAACTCCCTTTCAAAGATTCTGGCTGCTAACATTCACTAATGTAAACATAGTTCTGCCATATGGAATGAACAAAGCAGGAGGAGAAAAAAAGCTTCATGCAATTATAAACAAATAAATTTTAAAAAGAAAATGCTCAGGTTGTTCTGTTCTCTGTGCACTCACTTTTAGATAACCACTCAAGAGCCAGGACAGTGTCCTTGGGTGACTGCAGCTAAATAGAGCTCACGTGGACTGTTCTTCTAGCAGAAACTGCAGCTGAAACCAGAGATTAAATCCTCATTTGCTCATCCTCACACATACCTAACTCTCAGATCAGGTTAGCATGGGTCCCAAGTAACTTTCCCAGGGCGTGGGTGATGTCAGCAGCACATAACACCTCTCATGCTCCGTATACTTTGAGGATCTGTGCTCACCCAAGATGCCTCTCACCAGCAGAATCCACAAAAGCAAAAGACCATGTCTCCTCATGGAGGAGACAACCCCAGGAGAAACAGCACAAGTACTAATACCAGCACACTCACCTTTTTGCTCGAAGTTCCTTCATGTGTAGTTACACTGGTATTGCTAAGCTTTGGAATTATAGAACTGCCTTGTGTATCCACCACTTCCAGCTTCATTGTTTTTCTGGGCACAAGCTCAGTATCATCATTCTCACAGGAGCCTTCATGTGGCATCTTGTCTGTTTCTGGAACAGCTTTCCCAGACTCTTCAGCAAATTGCACCGTGTAGGGGTAAAGGTTATTTACAATATGCAGAACTTGGCCTGGCTTCATTTTCACCACTTCACCCTTGCCAATATTCACAAGATCAACACTAGTTGGGTTTACTCCTATCTTTGGTAGACAGAAAAAGGAAAAAATAGTAAAAAATTATGTTGTGAGTGGAATTGCCAACTTCTGTTCAGGTCTCCTGGAATACCATTATCCCGGAAAGCAAATGCATTTTGTATTCACCACCCACCCTGCCCACATCAACCCGCTTCAGCAGACCAGGCAGTGCAGCACTGGGGACATCTGGGGACATCTGCTTCTGTCCCAATCTTGCAGTCACGCCTGTCAGCACACACCCTTAGGGCCTGTGTCACAGGGAGCCTGGTCTGCAGCAGTTACACAGTAACAGCACCACTTGTGCTGCACTTCCCACACAAATTAGCAACCTATTAAACAACTAGTAACAGCAGCCATTATTTCTGAGGAGTAACAGTAGTTCTAGCAATTTATTTTAGTGCAACGGTGTTGTGATGTAGGCAACCTACAGTGATTTCTTGATAGCTGGATTTTGCATCATCATATGGGCGACCCTACAAAAATTAGGAGTCTTCAGCAAAATGCTTTTGGTTAATATTTATGCACAAAACGGGCGTTAGAAAATCAGCTCCCTCTTGCGACTGATGAATTCAGTCAGAGAAACTTTTTGTTAGCTTTGTCACTGCCATACCTGCATGCTTCACAAGATGGTACTACACCTCTCACTTCAATGAAGTATTCACTGCAATGAAGCACACACCTGATTCCAGCCAGGATCTCTTTAGTCTACAGCTCTGCAGTTTCACTCAGGTCAAGGATGCTTCCCATGAGTGAATAAATTATCAAACAACTGATCACTAGAACCTTGTGCCACACACCTGTCATCTGGGGAGCAACTCCTCAACAGGCAGAGAAAACATGCTAGCACCCACCACCAGAAAGCATCCTCAGTTTTGAGATTCCAGTAACACAATATTCAAATCATGACTAGGGTTGATTTCTGAGAGAAACTGTCATAGATATCTCTGCCAGATTCACCAGATACCCCCAGGTGCCTGTGCCTAGTGGGCTGTGGAGTCATTTTGAGAAAAGGCATGACCCCTCGGCAGGTATAACATGTTGTGTGGTACTGTCTGCACAGGCTGATGCTGTGGGCACACACACACACACACACACACAAACAAACACCAGCACCAGAGACCTTTCCCTTCATAGTATCTCAGAGATACTGGGTCTGGTATGCATGAGGGAGTAGGCCTGCCTCCATCCATCTGGTAAAAGGGGCATTCCAGCAGTGGTGTCTCTCATCCCATCTCTTCCCATAAGTAACCACATCTCCAGCTCCATGAGCTCACCCATAAAATACTCTACAACTGGGGACTCCCATTAACACAAGAAGTTCAATCTTAAACAAAGGGCTGCCTCAGCTTATGAAGTTTAAGGCTCAGGAGAAAGATAAACAAGTTTAGTAGAAGAAGTCCAAAGTCTCTCAAATGCAGCACCCAACAGAACTGACTGAGGATTCACAACAGCATTCCCTGATGCTGCAAGTCTGGCGGTCTTAGACTGGAATGTATCTGGAAGGAATAGTGCAGCCTTTCATTGAGGTGCACAAAGCAGAAAGTTCACTTCTGAGGGTCACTTGCTCTAACCTCCCTTGGTGATAAGAAAGCTTCAGGTCCCTCAGACCCAGTGATCATTATCATCACTTGGAGCATTTGTGGAGCTAAGTACAACTGTCCCAGTAAGTGCCAGAAACACTGCAGATCCATACATAAAAACATACCTGTTTAACTGTGACATACCCCTTGTTACAGTCTGCTTTTAACTGAACTGGAAAAGAAAGAACAAAGTGTCACAAAACCATGCAAATAAAAAGAACTCTGCTGAACCACCCAGTGCAGGAAACACTCCTATTTTTGAAGAGCTGTTTCTTTCTGGAGCTGATCTTTGTGAATGTGTGCCAAGAATACTTCTGCCTCATCTCTTCTTTCCAGGAACACAGGTAAAACAGAGCCAACCCACACACTGAGCCAAGGGTAGAATTACTTCAGAACAAAGCTGGACTCTGTTGATGTCTTATACATATTCTTGACATTCTTACCAGCCCTCTGGGACAAAAAAAAAAAAGGCACAGAGCAAGACTGTGTCCAGAGGCACAGAAGATAAAGCAAGGAAGATGTGCAGCACTGTATAGGTGATAGGCATTTTCATATATTCTCCAACATCACATTATTTTATGTATAAAATAACAAGTCATGCTAAAAATCAGTTGGTGGAATACTATGGAGAAGAAGTGCTGCTCACGACTAGGGATGCAGGCAGTGAAACCCAACTTTTGGCCTGGGAACTCACATTAAGATTCAAAGCTTTAGTTTACAGAGGTGGATGTCCTGTCACTGGCTGTCTCTGATTTTTTAGGCCCCAGAGATCTCTGTAAGTGCTTATTAAAAAGGATTGATGAGTTCAAGAACCAGGCAACACTGCAGACCACATAGAGGAGCAAGGCAAGCTCAGCTGCTCTGCACATGGAAAGCAGGATTTGAGCGAAATCACCTTACCTTGCTGCCGTGAACACTTCTTATCCGTTATCCCAGTCTCTGGGCCACGCCCAACCACCACAGCTTCCAAGTGTGGCAGTTTCACTCGCTGAGCGCATTTCTCTTTGCCCACAAGCCAGCACACACGCATCACTGAGCTATAGAGCAAAATAAACAGTGTGTTACTTCCCGAGGGCCACCTTCCTGTGGAACAGGGTCCATGAATTCTGGTGCCAGCCCATCCATTAGCTGAACCAATTCTGCTAACTTGGGTTCAAGTTTCTGAAATTCAAAGCAAAGCATGTCACCAGCACTTGCATAATCTATGAGCAGGTTGCTGGTGAAAGGGCAATCCTGTTTTCTTTCCTACACTACTGTATATTCTCACATCCGTGAACCATATACAGGAAAAATCAATTGGATTTAATGGGACTCCTCCGTCTGACAGAAGAGCCTAGCCACAAAAAAGCTCAATTTGTTTCCCACTGGATCAGAGTTCACCTGAGAAATTAACCACCAAAACAAGAGAGAGCAGCAGAAGACAAGAGATGAGAGAGAGTCGGGGCAGCTTCCATCCAGCAACACTCAGCACACGGACCATGCTATGAAATCTTCAAGTTTACATCAATTTGACCCTGGACAGCAAAGATCCCTCACCCTGCCCGGCGCTCAGCCCTGTTCCACCCAGCTCTGCGGTGGAGAGCTCATGCCCGCGGAAAGCCAGGCTCCGTCCCGGTGTAACACCGGCACTGTCACACACCCATCCCACGGCACACCCATCCCACACCCATCTCCACGGCAAAACACCATCCCCACACCCATCCCACGGCACACCCATCCCCGTGGGCCCCGTTCCCATGGCAACGCCGGGACGGACCCCTCCCCCTTACCGCGCGGGTGACGTTCGCGCCGCCGCCGCCCCGCAGCCAATCAGATACTGCAGCGTGTCACCCACGTGACCAGGCAAAGGCTCCCGCCACGGCGTGTGGCCCAGCGCAGGCGCACTGGGCCCGCGGAGCCGGGGGTGGGCAGTGGGTCCTGGCAAAGGCGCAGCAGAGTGAAGCGGCCCGGGCCGCCGGCTGGCCTGTGCGGCGCGGAGCCAGGCCCGTGTCGGGTGAGGGGGGGAAAGGCGCGAAGCAGTGCCGGGAAGGCAGCGGCGCCCCGTATCCGGTGCAACTCGGTGCCTCCGAGGGCGGGAGCGGCCGGCGCGCAGGCGCAGGGCGAGGCAGACGCTGGGCAGGGACGCCACAGCCCGCGCAGGGCGGGGTCAGCGCTCAATGCGGGAGGCGGAGGCCCGCGCTGATTGGCCAAGCGCCTTCCCCTCCCCATCAGCCATTGGTGGGCCACTCGCTCGGGCCCGGCGCGCGGCGGGGCAGGACTTCCGGGGCGGGGCCGGCTGTTAAGCGGCGGGGCTGCGGGACCGGCCCGAAGTTTCCAGAAGAGTCGGGATCGGAGCAGCGCCAAGTGGCATCTGCGTCCGCCGCCCCGGGGGCTTCCTGCCACTGCCACCGCCGCTATGGTGAAGGAGACGACCTACTACGATGTGCTGGGCGTTAAGCCCAACGCGTCCGCCGAGGAGCTGAAGAAGGCCTACCGCAAGCTCGCGCTCAAGTACCACCCGGACAAGAACCCCAATGAGGGCGAGAAGGTCGGCGGGACGGGCCGGGAGGGGACGGGGGCGGGCGGGAGTCCCGCCGGGGGTGCCGCAGGTGCCTGAGTGCCGGTGACTGTCCTTTCCGCAGTTCAAGCAGATCTCGCAAGCTTACGAAGTGCTGTCGGACTCGAAGAAGAGGGAGCTGTATGACAAAGGAGGCGAGCAAGCTATCAAGGAGGGCGGCTCTGGCGGCGGCTTCGGGTCACCCATGGACATATTCGATATGTTCTTCGGCGGCGGGGGAAGGATGCAGAGGGAGAGGCGAGGTAATGTGTCGGCGGGGTATCAGTTTCTTTGAAGAGAATGTCATAGATGTGGGAATTTAAACAGAGTTTAATTGAAGTTACAGGGTTAATCTGAAAATTGGAGAAAACTATTTTCCCTTAACGCTGAAACCCCAAGGGAGGGCGTTTGGTTGGTGCAGTGGTAGTTTGGTCTCCTGTGCATTGTCCTCTGTTAATCGCTAACCAGGTGCGTTTGGAGTACCTTTAGCTGAGTGTAAGCCCAGCTGCTGGTAGACAAAATAGGAAATGGAAAGGTAAAGTATCTTAAAATGGTTTGTTAACTAAGCTAGTGTAAGTGTAGCGTGTAAAAGCAACTACCTTGACATCAAGATCCAGTTCAGTCTGTGAAACTTTTCTATGTTCTGCACTGTGCATCGGTACTATGTTGAAGGTGCAGTAAAATGCTACCCAGAAGTTAAGATCCAGTTTAATCACGCTGGGAAGAACTTTAAACTTGTTAAGAGCAGTGCTGACCCCATCACCTCTTAGTGCAGATCTGGTGAGAAAGGGAAGAAAAATTGTTTTGTATCCAAGTGTTAAGAGTCTGTAACAACCGTGTAACAACTCTGTAACAACTAAGCCTACAGCAGCTGAAATGCTAAGGAGTTCCGGAAGGTAAAATATAGTTGGTCATTTCTGGTTCCAGAAGGTCACGTGGTGAGAGGAGGACGGTGCTGAAGTGGAGATTTCAAACAGAGTCTCTCACTTGTTTGTAGGAGATCTGTTTGGTGACTTTGTTGAAACCAGGGTCCTGCATTAAAAAAAACTTACACATTTGAGGTTCTGTATGTTCTGTTGTTTTCACTGTTTGTACTTTTCCAGAAGGTCTCCTCTGACTTTGCCAGAGTCAGTCATAACAACTGTTCCCTAATATGACAGCAGCTCAGAAGGGGCTTTTGACTAATGTGAGCAAAACAAGACAAAGCTCTATTGAAACAAGATGCTGAAGCCCAGAGACTTGGCTTATCATGGCTTGACAGGGAGATGTGAAGACCAAGCTTCTAAACTTGAATAAATATTTGTTCTTTTACAGGTAAAAATGTGGTCCACCAGTTGTCAGTAAGTTTGGAAGATATGTACAATGGTGCAATGAGAAAACTTGCACTGCAGAAAAATGTCATCTGTGACAAGTGTGAAGGTAATGTTGAAACTGAAACTAAAGAGAATATGTTTCTAAAGCTTTTGGGGTTTTTTTCTGGTAGCATATAACTACCTATCTCCAATTTTTGTTCTCAGGTCGTGGTGGTAAGAAAGGTGCAGTAGAATGCTGCCCTAATTGCAGGGGAACAGGCATGCAGATCAGAATTCACCAGATTGGGCCAGGAATGGTGCAGCAGATCCAGTCTGTGTGTATGGAGTGCCAGGGGCATGGGGAGCGTATCAGCCCCAAGGACCGGTGTAAGAGCTGCAATGGCAGAAAAATTGTTCGGGAGAAGAAGATCCTGGAAGTTCACATTGACAAAGGTGAGGTGTCTTACTGAGGTGAAGTATTGAACTTGAATGTGCTGACTGACTTTGCTGCACTGAAACAGAAGCCTTAGCAAATACCTGGTGTCAATTTGGTAAGTAACAGTGCTGAATACATAGCAAAATTCCTTATTGTTGTCTTACAAAAAGTAGAGTTGTTTTCTAGGGAAGATCAACTATCTCTGTGTTCACTTCTTAAGCCTGGCACATAACTAAGAGTGAATTCTGAAACTTGCATTATTGTAAGCAGTGAATTATTTTTCAGGTCCCTCTAAGGCCAGTTTGTGATCAGGTAGTCTGATCAATTTTCACTGTCTGCAGCAAAACCCTGCAGACTCCGATCACTTCTGCTGTGTTTCAGTGTGAAGGGGAACCAGGTGTGCTATAGTGATAGGGTGCAGAGACAGTGCTAAGCCTCTCATGCTTAGAACTCTGTTGGCTACACACCCCTGACAGTGCTGCACAGCGCAGGTACTGCTTCCTTTCCTGTCAAAATGCAGCTCGATACACAGACCCTCAGTGTGATGGGTGAAGGTAATGGTATTGAGTGACAAATCCATTTCTGCTGAGGGGGCTGCCCAGAGGCTGGTGGGAGAAGCCTGTGGAGTAGTGCAGCTTGTAGGACAGAGCAAGCTGACAAGTACATGTCTTTTACAGACTCGCTCGTGATTGTGACCTGCAGCTGTTACATGTGTGAAGTGTAAGCAGAGCTTAAGCAATGCCTGAATTTGTAGGCCAAATCCTACAGTAGTAGTAAATATGAGGACTAGAAGGGATATATATTACTGATATTTTGAACATATGAGGATGTTTTTCTAGAAGGAAGGGAAAAGAGACTCATATAGCATTAGAGAGCTAGTATGTTTGTTCAGTAGACTTATTGTGTGGGTGAAACAAGTTTCTTACAGGAGATTTTCAGTCCATGGGGAATGCTTTTTTTACTTGGCAGGCACTGAGATGATGCTTCATAAGGAGATGTGCCACATATTTAAGAAACTGAAGAACCTGACTAGTCAATTGCTCTTGAAATAGAGTTTGTACACAGTGTTTCTGATTTCTTCTTTGTGTTTGTGTGTATAATGAAAACTGTCTTGATGATATTGTCCTTCAGGACTTTATGTTGGTGGCTCTTTTGGCAGTACAGTTAAACCTGATGGTCCTGAGACTGAATTCAGGTTAGCAGTGCTAAGATCTGTTGAACAAGTGAGTGGATTAAAAGAAAAAATAAAAACTAATCCTTCAAGGGAAGATCCTGATGTTCTTGCTTAAAGATATCTTGATACCAGCTCATGCCTCTAAAAGTGTTTGTTGTTGGTGCTTTTATATTAAAAATAAGAAAAATGTTTTTGTTTTGTGCAATAGGAATGAAGGATGGTCAGAAAATAACATTCCATGGTGAAGGGGACCAAGAGCCAGGTCTGGAGCCCGGGGATATTATTATTGTCTTGGATCAGAAAGACCACTCTGTATTTACAAGGTAAAGCCACTTGAATTCTCTTATGTTATCTCCTGTCAAGTTTTTCCACGTGCTTCCTTGGTTACCACTCATCTTGTAGGTACTGGAGTGTCAGGAGATAGGATCACATGACTGTCACTCAGCCATGAGTTTGTCTGGGTGGTCAGAGGAGCGCTGAGGTGAGTTCTGGTGCAGCTAGTCTGGCCACTTGTGTTCTAATAGCATGAGGTAATCTCCTGTGAGTTTTGGCAGCAGAAGGGACTAGAAGGCAAACAAAAGGAGTTACAGTTAAGAGTTTACAAATCTTTAATTTTAAGAACTCATTGGAATACTGAGATTTATAGTAGTTTTGAATATTTGTGACTGTTTCCTTGCTTTCGATTATTTAGCTCAGAAAATTGTCATTTAATGTATTCCACTGTTGTCCACATGGCCTCAAGACACAGAAAACTTGGAGTGTGTGCATATGTGTTTGTGGATCTTATTTAGGACAAATTTACTCAGTATAGCGTGCACCCTTGTGATCAAACATGGTTTGCCCCACTTCATTTCCTGCCCAAGTGCTATGGGCAGCATAATTGGTCTTGTCTGGCTTTTATTGTGAAAGCAAAAGTGACTCAAGCAGCGCTGACCACATCTCAACTATTTCATGCTCCCAGGCAATACTGCTGGGTGTTGCATACCTCTCTCTGTAGTTTTACTGTTTATGGAATTAGTCTGTTCAGTATATTTTGGTTAAAAGCACCGTTGATGAGCTTGCAGAACTGTGTTGCATTTGTTTTCTCACTGCTGCTGCTCAGAGCAGTTACAGAGGAAGTGGTGGGTTTAGAGAAAGCACTTATCACTGACCTTGTGCTTGTAAATAGGAACAGTGAACCAAAGGTTCTTGGGAAACCTGCAGCTGGTGTACCTCACTATCATGTATGGTGCTGAGCTCTTGAAGCTGGTGCCAG